TCATTCATCTTCATCAACATTTTTTTTACTTCAACATTTCCCTTGACCTTAAGGACAGATGATACAAACAAATTTTTTCTTTGGAGGAGACTTCATATCATGTCACAAGTTTAAAAAAGAAGATAATTCTTAGATTTTTTCTCCTAAGAACTGGAAAATGAAATAGCAAGCCAGGTGAATTTTATCAGAGAAAGCAAAATGGTAAAAATCAGCCTATATGATATTGCTGATTTCTTGTCATTTTGCTTTTCCTGATAAAATTCACCTGGCTTGGTATACTTTTTCCTAAGTTTATATTACACTTTTAGTACCAAGATAGCATATTCTGAAATTTGTTTTCGCCTGTAAACCTTTACTGAGTGTGATTTGTCTATATTTGCTTTTATATTGAAATATTACTAATATTTTCCAAGTCTATTTCATTTTTCACTTCTTAGGAGAGAAAAATCGAAAATTATCCACTTTTCTAAACTTGTGACATGATATTAAGTATCTTCCACAGAAAAAATTTGTTTGTATCATTTGTCCTTAACTACACTTTTTTTATGTGTGTAGCTCAGACTCCAAGAAAGAACGATTGGCAGGAATCGGGGAGCACTTGAAGAATGAAAAAATATTGAACTAAATGCAATTATAACATTCTATTGATGTATTGTCTTTGAAATAGGAGTGACAAATATTTTCCATACAGTGTTTTTATTTGCTTAAAAATAACTCGAATCAAGGTTAGATGAGTCATTTGGTACAAAATGTTACATTTTTTAACACGTATTTCTGAAAATTTGTTATCTCTGGCCCGGGTCATCTCTCCAGGTTTCAGAAAAATATTTGTGTGTATTTATATTCAAAGAAACGAATAAACATTTGTAAAATTACATAAAGAATGAACTTTTTAAAAGAAAAAAAATGACAAATGATTTATTTATGAATGTGTTGTTTTAAATTCCAGATTGTGTGGCGATGGCAGCTCAGTCGTATGCGCATCAGAAGTTGAATTGTTTTTGATTTGATCCTCCCATGGAACATTTTATATTTTTTAATACGAGCAATCAAAGTTCTTTATCTGATGAATTTCATTTAATGAAGTATGAAAGGTATAACAGAGAAAAAAATGGTTCAGTTGCACGTGGAGAGAAGTAAAGTAAAGAAGTAATGTTATAAAGTTAAGTTTTACTGTATTACGTTGATTTGTAAAATTTGTCCGCTTGTGGTCAGCCAATCAAATCGTGGACATTTAAACAATAAATGTTTCGTACACTATTCCTGCAGATCGTATGCCAAACTCGCCTATCTTCTTGTTCAGGATAATTCTATCAAAAGTATTAGCTCAATTCAAAAAACTTATTCAAGGTTTTTAAATCAAAAACGCACACACCAATGCAATATGTTTTATCTGCCCTTTATAATGATTCAGTTGGTAAACTAGAGGTTCTGTGAGCACTGAGCTCATTAAATGATAACCCCCGCCTCCCATATGCTTATAGTTGCTAAATCCATGTTTTGTTCTGGGAGACAAGAAATAAGTGTCAGATCAAAAAGTAAAATAAGAGGTGCACAATGGCAGTATGTAATAAAGAATCTGGGAAAGTATTATCAAATTCTATTCAGTGGTGTAGGAGGAGTTGCGGATAAGAGATGGGTACTCTTCAATATTATAGAAAAAATGGCAGTGTCCATGTTTTGCCATGGGAAACCCGAAATATATCGTTAGTCCGATAAAAAAAAGTAAAATAGGACGTGCACAATGGCAATATGTAACAAAAATTCTGTGAAAGTTTCATTAAATTTCATTCAGTGTAGTTGCAGATAAGAGATGGGTACCCCAAAGTGTAAATGAAGGAAGGACGGACGAACATACAGACGGACCGCCGTATGCCCATCTCTCATCTGTAACTCTTCTTATACCACTGAATGAAATTTAATGATTTTCTCTTTCAAAGGTTCTTTATTACACAATGAACGCAACTGTGATCTTTTATTTTCCTTTTTGATCTGACACTTATCTCCAGTCTACCAGAGCAAAACATGGACTTTGTCATTATCATTTTTAGCTTCATGATATATCTGTTTAACATTGGTTTCTATCAGATAAAGTGTTAAATCACATAATAAAAACTAAAGTTTAAATTTGCACAACAAAGTTTATTTTGGTATGAATCATCAATTTTACCTTAGAATAAAAAATAAAGTATCAATGAAAAAAAAAATTCACAATCATATCACTTGTTTTTTTTCAGAATGGAAAATGGAAAGGAAAAAAAAAACCCTCTAGAAGCCCTGTTACTATACAATGTTTAGGTTGCACACGCTGCATATGACTAGAATGCACTAAAAAATTATTCAAACACCTGTTATTTCAGAAGGAACCGTTATACGGTAATATATGAAGACATAACATATCAAATTTGCAACCAAAAAAAAAGGCTGCTGCATATATTATAATTATATAAATTCTTTTGAAAAGCATCAGGGCCGGCCAGGAAAAACTAGAGATAAAATAATTTTAAAAACTCTAGAAACCTGTGTCCGTTGCCAAGTGCCGCTGGATGCAAAAAATTGTTGTGACGGACCTCACAACCTATATCTAAACTTTAAAAAATACAATCTTTTAAACTTATATTTCAAAAATATGAAAACTTTAATGTTACCCGCTTATGTCGGCGGCTAGAGGTGACAAACCTTTAAAAACTAGTTCTCTACTACACATCAAAATCAATTTATATTGGTCACTCCCTGACCAATCCATATTACATGCGTATCAATATCTTGTCTCTAATACATTTTCCCGCTATACTAACGAAACGCGGGAAAATATCATTATATTAAACATATGACAAATTACACGTATAACGAAGCAAAGTTGTCCATCTCTGGCACTTCATTATAAGCACGTTTTACTCTATGTGACATATATATTAAGATCATTATTTTTATTTTGGAAATTGTTCAAAAAGAAAAATTTGTTTCACAACATTTTTCCACTTTAATAACGAGGCTTCATAGATGTTTCTTTGTTCTCTCAAAATGTCGAAAAATTTTGCATCGACATATATCTGATTTGCAATGATATTAAATATAGACAGTCTAATAATTAGATGAAGAAAAAATACAGTAAAATATAATTATCTTAAACTTGATGGACGCAAGATTTAAAAAAAAAACTTCGCATTCAAGACAACCCAAGAAGTCAAGATGCTGCTGGGTTTAAATAACATAGAGAAAGTTCAAGGCTTCCGACTCACTTCGAGAGTCTTCTTCTTCAAATAAATCTTAAATAATTCACAGCAAATATAGAATACAAGTTGTTTGTTTTCGAAAAAAAAGAAATAAAATTGAAATTTCAAAATTTACATATAATGGAAAACATTTACAAAAGCAATACATTCAAAAAAATACAAAAGCAGGTAGAGGGAGGTATTCTATGTATCTGTATATACACATTCATTTCTAAAATATGAAAGTGAATACCGCCAGTGAACATGAAACATATGGATATAACGAACTATTCAAGATTTAAAGATCTGAAGCAGTCATTTTAGTCTCTATACAAGTTAACAAAAAGGAGAGTTGATAAGTAAAGGAGTTTTCCTATTCATTTATATGGAAATAATTTTTTTTAATGTTTACAGCTAATCAGAAGTCTCTGATGAGACTGTAGCTCTACTGGTCTGTACGTATAAGCTAACAAAGGAAAGTAGCAATTGGGTTTCAAACTTTGCAACAGGCAGCAATAAATAGAATTATGTATCTTAATGTAGTCTACTTGTTTGCCAAATGTTTTTAAATGAGACCAAAATTGTAGGATGAGATAAAGGAATTTCAGAAAAAATCTATTTTTAGTAACCATGGCAACACCGTTCATTGAAATCAAAAACCAATTAATAGAATTATGTATCTTAGTGTAGTCTAAGAGTGTGCCAAGATATATTGAAATCAGACCAAAACTGTAGGAAAAATAGCGTTTTAAAGGAATTTCAATGAAATTTCTATTTTTAGTAACCATGGAAACACCGTTCATCGAAATAAAAAAAAAAACAATATACTAAATTATGTATCTTAGTGTAGTGTACTTGTGTGCAAAGTTATATTGAAATCAGACAAAAACTGTAGGAGGAGTAGCATTTTGAAAAATTGTTTATGAACAGACAGACAGCTAGACGGAAGGATGTACGACGGACACCTTACTATCGCATAAGCTCTTCTGGTCTCTGACCAGCTAAAAATAATTTTGATTATGAAAAATACACTAGGAGGTTTATCTTGGGAGATATCTCCTGCCAAATGAATGTATACAGAGGGGAAGAAAAACAATACCTTTATTGACTTAACAAAGCAAAGGGAAGGGGCAAAAAACCAACAATATCTAAAATGGAATTGTAAAAAAAATCCCATAAAATATACGAAAAAGAGAAGAAAAAAAACAACAATAAAATGTACCATCTAAAAAAAATAAACAATATACTGTATGATGGTGATTTCTCCTTTAAAAATAAGGATTTCAATCATTTCCATATTTAAATAAAATTGAAATTATAAAATTACATACACGGACGTTTTAGACTTAGAGATATCTGATGTCATAATTTTCCACTAAATGTTAAAAATGAGGAAGAGACTGGTCAATACTCTTCAAAACTTTCTTGGGATGAAATGTAAAACAATAAAAAAAATTATCTTTGAAAATACTTCTGTAAATCTTTAAAATCTTCTGTAAAAACATTTAAAAAAAAGAAAGATAGAAGGATAAAGAACACATTTCTATTTCATCCAAAAAAAAAAAGGAAAATAAGAGATAGAGAGAAGAAAAATAGAATACCTAACAATTAAAAAAGAAAGACAGAAGGATAAAGAAAACATTTCAATTTAATAAAAAAAGAAAATAAGAGATAGAGAGAAGAAAGATAGAATACCTAAATGTTACAATTAAAAGAAAAGATAGGCAGAATGATAAAAAAATATTTTCTAATTTAAGAATGATAGTTTTTTTTTTTTTTAAAAAAAAAAAAATAACAGTATAATAGATAATTTCTGTGTTTATTCCATACTTGCAGAATTTTTCAGATATTGGGGGTGTTTTTTTTAAAAATCTATTTGCAAAATTAAAAATAAAAAAAAAATTTTTATATATAATTGATGATGCAGAAAATCAGGACAAAGAGAATACAGTCCAGTCCACAGAGGATGCTTGGACTTCTACGGCACCTGATCCCACCTCTAATATTTTCAGAGCTCCATGTTCAATGGAATTTTTGATTACTGTTCGTTATCTTCATATTTTATAGCAAACAATTGGAGACACAGAAATTATCCATTATACAATTAGACTTAAAAAAAATAATTTACATAAAAGTGTTTTCCCTATGTTAAACTTGACGAGTTAGGGAAACCTTTTCATTAAAAAGACTTTAGACTTCTCAGTGTGTAGCTATCATCAACAAAAAAATGTCATATAAAAAGAGGCTATAGCCTGACAGGTATCTCCTACAAACTTATTCCTCTAAATGTAAACAGAGAGGAATAGGACTGATCAGTTGTTTGTACTAAACATTCCTAAAGGGAAAACAGTAACTCGCTTTATAAAAGAAAGTACACAATCAATTAACGCTTAACAATATGATAAGGAGAGAAAGAAGAAAATATAACATTAAATCAATTTGAAAGCATAAAATATCATAGATGGATGTAACAGATTTGGAGATATCAGATTGTTTTCCTCTAAATGTTGACAAAGAAAGGAAGAGACTGATCGGTACTCTTAAAATCTTTCTTGAGAGGAATTGTAAAACAATAGAAAAAAATATCTTCAGAAATGCTTCTGTAAATCTTTAAAAAAAAATAGAAAGGAAAGTTAAGGATTAACTTACATTTAAAAAAGAAAAATAGAAGACAAAGAAAACATTTTGTATTTCATTAATGAAAAAAATTTTAAAAAAAATAATTTTAAATTTCATTAAAAAAAAAAAAAGAATAAGAGAAAGAGAGAAGAAAGATAGAAATCTAACATTTAAAAAAACGAAAGACAGAAGAATAAAGAAAACATTTCAATTTCATAAAAAAAAAAAAAGAAAATAAGAGAAAGAGAGAAGAAAGATAGAATACCTAAATGTTACAATTCAAAAAAAAAAATAGAATGATAAAAAAAATTTCTAATTTAAGAATGATAGCTTTTTCAAAAAAATAAAAAAAAAAGTATAATGGATAATTTCTGTGTTTATTCCATACTTGCAGAATTTTTCAGATATTGGGGGTGTTTTATTTAAAAAATCTATTTGCAAAATTAGAAATAAAAAAGTATTTTTATATAAAATTGACGATGCAGAAAATCAGGACAAAGAGAAAACAGTCCAGTCCAGTCCACAGGGGATGCTTGGACTTCTATGGCACCTGATCCCACCTCTGATATTTTCAGAGCTCCATGTTCAATGGAATTTTTGATTACTGTTCGTTATCTTCATATTTTATAGCAAACAACTGGAGACACAGAAATTATCCATTATACAATTAGACTTAAAAAAAATAATTTACGTAAAAGTGTTTTCCCTACGTTAAATTTGATGAGTTAGGGAAACCTTTTCATTTTGTATAGCTATCAATCAACAAAAATAGAAATGTCGTATAAAAAGAGGCTATAGCCTGACAGGTATCTCCTACAAACTTATTCCTCTAAATGTAAACAGAGAGGAATAGGACTGATCAGTTGTTTGTGCTAAACATCCCTAAAGGGAAAACAGCAACTCGCTCTATAAAAGAAAGTACACAATCAATTAAAGCTTAATAATATGATAAGGAGAGAAAGAAGAAAAATTAACATTAAATCAATTTGAAAGCATAAAATATCATAGATGGATGTAACAGATTTGGAGATATCAGATGTCATTGTTTTCCTCTAAATGTTGAAAAAAAGAGGAAGAGACTGATCAGTACTCTTAAAATCTTTCTTGAGAGGAATTGTAAAACAATAGAAAAAAAAATATCTTCAGAAATGCTTCTGTAATCTTTAAAAAAAAAATAGAAAGGAAAGTAGGATTAGCTTACATTTAAAAAAGAAAGACAGAAGAATAAAGAAAACATTGAAATTTCATCCAAAAAAAAAAAAGAAAATAAGAGAAAGAGAGAAGAAAGATAGAATACCTAACAATTAAAAAAGAAAGACAGAAGGATAAAGAAAACATTTCAATTTCATGAAAAAAAAAAAGAAAAGAGAAAGAGAGAAGAAAGATAGAATACCTAAATGTTACAATTTAAAAAAAAAAGATAGACAGAGTGATAAAAAAAAAATTTTTCAATTTAAGAATGATAGCTTTTTAAAAAAAATAAATAAATAAATAAAAACAGTATAATGGATAATTTCTGTGTTTATTCCATATTTGCAGAATTTTTCAGATATTGGGGGTGGGTTTTTTTTCAATCCATTTGCAAAATTAAAAAAAATAAATCTTTTTATATATATAATTGACGTTGCAGAAAATCAGGACAAAGAGAAAACAGTCCAGTCCACAGGGGATGCTTGGACTTCTATGGCACCTGATCCCACCTCTAATATTTTCAGAGCTCCATGTTCAATGGAATTTTTGATTACTGTTCGTTATCTTCATATTTCATAGAAAACAACTGGAGACACAGAAATTATCCATTATACAATTAGACTTAAAAAAAATCACGTAAAAATGTTTTCCATAGGTTAAATATGATGAGTTAGGGAAACCTTTTCATTCTCAGTGTGTATAGCTATCAATCAACAAAAAATATAAATGTCATAAAAAGAGGCTATAGCCTGACAGGTATCTCCTACAAACTTATTCCTCTGAATGTAAACAGAGAGGAATGGAACTGATCAGTCCTTTGTACTAAACATCCCTAAAGGGAAAGGAGCAACTTACTTCATTAAGTCTTAACGATATGATAAGAAGAAGAAGAAGAAGAAAAATTAACATTAAATCAATTTGAAAGCATAAAATATCATAGATGGATGTAACAGATTTGGAGATATCGGATTGTTTTCCTCAAAATGTTGAAAAACAGAGGAAGAGACTGATCAGTACTCTTAAAATCTTTCTTGAGAGGGATTGTAAAACAATAGAAAAAGATTATCTAAAACTGCTTCTGTAAATCTTACAAAAAAAATACAAAGGAAAGTTAAGGATTAACTTACATTTTAAAAAAAAGACAGAAGAATAAAGAAAACTTTTTTATTTTATCCAAAAAAAAAAAAACTGAAAGTAAGAGAAAAAAAGAAGAACGATAGAATACCTAACAATTTTAAAAAAAACACAGGATAAAAAAAACATTTCAAAAATTATCAAAAAAAAAAATAAAAATTGAAAAGATAAGAGAACAGAAAATATAAATGCCATATTGACAGAGGCTATAGCCTGGCAGATATCTTACAATTATTCCTCTGAATGTAAAAGGAATGGAACTAATCAGTCCTTTGTGCTAAACATGGGAAAACAAAAAAAAGAAGGTACATTTACAATTAACTAAGAATGATAAGCATTTAAAATAAAAATTTTAAAAAACATGTGTTAATGGATAATTTCTGTGTTTATTTAATTTGCAGAATTTTTCATTGAATGGAAATGTATAATAATAGAAAAAATCTAATTTACTAGGAAACACTTCAGTAAATCTTACGAGAAAAAAAAGGATAAAGAATTATTTTCTTCTATATATTACCGAAAAAAAGGATTTTATGAGTTAAGGGCAAAAATAAATCTTTTTTATAAAAGATTCAGACTTTTCAATGTTTCATAGCTATAAATCAACATAAAAATATAAATGCCCTATAAAGAGAGGCTAAAACCTGGCAGTTATCCCCTACAAACTTATAACAGAGAGGAATGGGGCTGATCAGTCCTTTGTCCTACACATCCATAAAGAGAAAACAGCAACTCACTTTATAAAAGAAAGTTCACATTCAATTAGATTTTTTTAAAAGTAAGAAAAAAGTTGATATTTAGATTGACTATACCAAAATTTTTGAAAATTGAGAAAGATAGAGCTCCATAACAATTAAAAACAATGGATTTTTGATTACTCTGTTCACTATGCAAAAATTTTTCTAAGTTTAAAAAAAAAGGACTATTAAAGAAGTTTAGCTTAAAATTGTTGAAGTAGAAAAGAAAAAATGCAGTCATTTTAAATTATCATTTTGTGATAATGCATTTTAAAAAATGAATTAACAAAGTAAAAAAAAAAAAAAATATTTATCAGTATGAAGTGTTTTCCCTGTTAAATCATACTATTGATGAAAGTAAAGAAAGGAAACCTTTTAAAAAAACACAGGATAAAAAAATTATTTTCTATTTCAAAAATTGTTTTTTAAAAAATAAAAATTGAAAAGTGGATAATCAACAAAAATATAAATGTCGTATAAAAAGAGGCTATAGCCTGACAGGTATCTCCTACAAACTTATTCCTCTAAATGTAAACAGAGAGGAATAGGACTGATCAGTTGTTTGTACTAAACATCTCTAAAGGGAAAACAGCAACTCACTTTATTGTAGAAAGAACACAATCAATTAAGTCTTAATGATATGATAGGGAGAGAAAGAAGAAAAATTAACATTAAATCAATTTGAAAGCATAAATATCAAAGATGGATGTAACAGATTTGGAGATATTAGATTGTTTTCCTCTAAATGTTGAAAAAAGAGGAAGAGACTGATCAGTACTCTTAAAATCTTTCTTCAGATAAATTGTAAAACAATAGAAAAAAAATATCTTCAGAAATTAACTTACATTTTAAAAAAAAAATAGAAAGATAGAATTTAAAAAAGAAAGACAGAAGGATAAAGAAAACATTTAAATTTCATAAAAAAAAGAAAATAAGAGAAAGAGAGAAGAAAGATAGAATACCTAACAATTAAAAAAGAAAGACAGAAGGATAAAGAAAACATTTAAATTTCATAAAAAAAAGAAAATAAGAGAAAGAGAGAAGAAAGATAGAATACTTAAATGTTACAATTTAAAAAAAAAAGATAGAGTGATAAAAAAATATTTTCTAATTTAAGAATGATAGCTTTAAAAAAAAAAAATAAAAACAGTATAATGGATAATTTCTGTGTTTATTCCATACTTGCAGAATTTTTCAGATATTGGGGGTGTTTTTTTTCAATCTATTTGCAAAATTAAAAATAAAAAAAGATTTTTATATATAATTGACGATGCAGAAAATCAGGACAAAGAGAAAACAGTCCAGTCCACAGGGGATGCTTGGACTTCTACGGCACCTGATCCCACCTCTAATATTTTCAGAGCTCCATGTTCAATGGAATTTTTGATTACTGTTCGTTATCTTCATATCTTATAGCAAACAATTGGAGACACAGAAATTATCCATTATACAATTAGACTTAAAAAAATCACGTAAAAATGTTTTCCATAGGTTAAATATGATGAGTTATGGCAACTTTCCTTTCATTCAAAAGAATTCAGACTTCTCAGTGTGTATAGCTATCAATCAACAAAAAATATAAATGTCATATAAAAAGAGGCTATAGCCTGACAGGTATCTCCTACAAACTTATTCCTCTGAATTCGAATGTAAATAGAGAAGAGTAGGACTGATCAGCTGTTTGTACTAAACATTTCTACAGGGAAAACAGTAACTGGCTTTAAAAAAGAAAGTTCACAATCAATTAACGCTTAACAATATGATAAGGAGAGAAAGAAGAAAAATTAACATTAAATCAATTTGAAAGCATAAAATATCATAGATGGGTGTGACAGACTTGGAGATATCAAATGTCATTGTTTTCCTCTAAATGTTGAAGAAAAGGAAAAGACTGATCAGTACTCTTAAAATCTTTCTTGAGAGGAATTGTAAAACAGCAGAAAAAAATATCTTCAGAAATGCTTCTGTAAATCTTTAAAAAAAAAAAAAGAAAGGAAAGTAAAGGATTAACTTGAATTTCATTAATGAAAAAAATAAAATAAGAGAAAGTGAGAAGACAGAATACATAAAAAAAAGAAAGACAGAAGAATAAAGAAAACATTTAAATTTCATCAAAAAAAAAAAAGAAAATAAGAGAAAGAGAGAAGAAATATAGAATACTAACAATTAAAAAAAAGACAGAAGGATAAAGAAAACATTTCAATTTCATAAAAAAAGAAAATAAGAGAAAGAGAGAAGAAAGATAGAATACTTAAATGTTACAATTAAAAAAAAAGATAGACAGAGTGATAAAAAAATATTTTCTAATTTAAGAATGATAGCTTTTTAAAAAAAAAAAAAAAAATAAAAACAGTATAATGGATAATTTCTGTGTTTATTCCATACTTGCAGAATTTTTCAGATATTGGGGGTGTTTTTTTTTAAATCTATTTGCAAAATTAAAAATAAAAAAAGTATTTTTATATACAATTGACGATGCAGAAAATCAGGACAAAGAGAATACAGTCCAGTCCACAGGGGATGCTTGGACTTCTATGGCACCTGATCCCACCTCTGATATTTTCAGAGTTCCATGTTCAATGGAATTTTTGATTACTGTTCGTTATCTTTATGTTTTATAGCAAACAATTGGAGACACAGAAATTATCCATTATACAATTAGACTTTTAAAAAAATCACGTAAAAATGTTTTCCATAGGTTAAATATGATGAGCTACGGCAACTTTCCTTTCATTCAAAAGAAATCAGACTTCTCAGTGTGTATAGCTATCAATCAACAAAAAATATAAATGCCATATTGACAGAGGCTATAGCCTGACAGGTATCTCCTACAAACTTATTCCTCTGAATGTAAACAGAGAGGAATGGAACTGATCAGTCCTTTGTACTAAACATCTCTAAAGGGAAAGGAGCAACTTACTTTATTATAGAAAGTACACAATCAATTAAGTCTTAACGATATGATAAGAAGAGGAAGAAGAAAAATTAACATTAAATCAATTTGAAAGCATAAAATATCATAGATGGATGTAACAGATTTGGAGATATCAGATTGTTTTCCTCTAAATGTTGAAAAGAGGAAGAGACTGATCAGTACTCTTAAAATCTTTCTTGAGATGAA